GGCTTCTACTAACTCCTCCTGATCTATAAATCTGTCCCATATCTCTGATTATAAAAGTCAGAAAATTACCTAGAAAACTTAAATAAATTACAGCTCTTGGCAAGGTAGAAACTGACACTTTCATCATTACAATGATCAATTTATCAGAACTGTTTTTCTTTCTCTTGGTCTTTAAGTGTTAAATCCTACGTGCACATTATACTTTCATGAGCTAAAATGATCCCACACTGGCGCTCCTCGTCGGGCCCGTCCACACCAGGTCTGCTGTGTGCAAACTGTGGAACAGCACTGCAGCCGGTTAATGACTTCTATCAGAGTGTCCCTCGCAGGTCTGGTCACTGAGAGAGATTACTAAGTTGATATTAAAACCACAAGGAAAGAAATTTAGCATTTGGACAGTTCTGCCAATTTTTTTTTTTTTCATGGGCAATCTCACCAAAATATTTCACCTGTTCATTCACCTGAAGAGGTGAGCGTGCATGTTAACATGACTGATCTGTGGACAGTAAAAGCAGCAATGGTTATGTGCAAGTCTGCAGCTTGCAGGGCCATAGAAATGCCTCTAAGGGTCTTATTGAAGAACTAATTACCTTAATAAAATAAGAGGAGTCTCTCAGACTGTTAAAGGGTCTGTTCAGTAAAAACCACAGTGCATTATTGGACTGGGTTTGTTCTCCCTCCCTGTTACTGACCTCCACAGTGTCACAGAGTAATCTGGTTAGTGTGTGTGTACCACCTGATCCCACTAACCCCGCCTCGCTCCTCCCCCTGCTCTGACGAGGAGGGCAGCCATCGCGCTGCTCAGTGTGGAAGACCTGTGACCGCTTTAAGTCGTGTTGTGATGCTGCAGTGATGGAAACACTGTTTCAGTTGGTTGTGTTTGTGTTCCAGGGAGCCAGAGTTGTTGTCTCCCGCTCCTTCGCTGACTTCACACCCCAGGCGACCTTTGACATCAAGGTGAGCACAAATGAGAATCACTAATGGCAATTGCAGACTGAGGGAAGGATTTTTACCCCCATAAAACTGCAATCAGTTAAACATCTTAGTCGATACTGAATGTAGCTCAGATGAAACTTATCAGGGTTGATGCACAAACTGTCCTTTCAGATAAAATATCATGGCTATATTTGTAAAGTTGATTCTGCTGTCAACCTCTGAATCACATCAGCAATAGTTTCAGTGTCATGATCATCAGCACGAGTCCACTCAGGGATCTGCAGGAGGCTCAGCACTGATGGATTCAGCAGTAAATTAATAAATGTGCTAATCTCTGGTTCAGGTCTGGATTTGTGTAGTTTATTAAAACTTCACTCAATTGTGGACCAGAAATGTAAAATCTTCGGTTTGGTCTTCTTCTCCAGTTTGTGGTGTTTTTGTTTTTGGTGTAGAAATGCGACCTGCACCGCCTGGAGGAGGGCCCCCCGGTGAGGGCGGAGCTGACGAGGGAGCAGGGCCTGCAGTATTACCGCACCATGCAGACGGTGAGGCGCATGGAGCTGAAAGCTGACCAGCTCTACAAGCAGAAGATCATCAGAGGCTTCTGTCACCTGTACGACGGACAGGTATCAGCGCCTGCAGGCCAGGAACACGACTCATTTATATTGCAGCCAAAGCTCAGTGCGTGCAAGAACGTTTAGACAAAACCCAAACAAACATCAGTGTGAGTGTGGTGAGATGCAGAACATGTGGTTTCTCCTGCAGGAAGCGTGTGCTGCAGGCATCGAGGCCGCCATCAACCCCTCGGACCACCTGATCACTGCGTACCGCGCCCACGGGTACACGTACACCCGCGGCGTCTCTGTTAAAGAGATCCTCGCCGAGCTCACGGGTGAGAGCGAGAGGAAGGTCTTACAGTCTGAACATGCGCACGTCTGAAGTGGAGCTTAGTCTCATCTTCACTTTTATTTGTGCTCCTCAGGTCGTAGAGGGGGCGTGGCCAAAGGGAAAGGGGGCTCGATGCACATGTACGCGCCACATTTCTATGGAGGCAACGGCATCGTGGGCGCACAGGTGAGCACATTTAAAAAGCCTCTCGCACCTGCACGGCTCCATAGTTAAACACTCATTACAGGTTCAGTAACTCACCTGTGAACTGTGCAGGTACCTTTGGGAGCCGGCATCGCTCTCGCCTGCCAGTACCAAGGCAACAACCAGGTGTGCGTTACGCTCTATGGAGACGGAGCAGCCAATCAGGTAAGATTTTTTTTAAAAAATGAATAAATAAATAAATAGTCCTTGTAGGTTGGAGTTGGAATAAGGAAAGGGTGATCTCACTCTCACTCTTTTATCCATTTAAGAAATGTCACTAAACTCATGACTGTCTCAAAGTGAGCTGGAGAGGCTGCTGCAGTTCATTACAGTTGATCTACTGTTTTAAAAACAAACTAAACGAGCCCCTGAAATATCAATAGCAGATTGAAGAAAAAAAAAAATAAAAAAAAATCTGACTTTGGTCATTTAATAGTTCAGCCCTACGGCCAGTCACACTACACCAAATTCTCAGGTAGTAGATGGTCTTTAAAGTTTAAACGTATGAGAACAAAGTTAAATGTTCAGAATTGATGCACTCCGTCATATTTTCCAAAGCCTTTCAGACGGGCGGACTGACTCTGGCCCCTATGCCTCGTGTTTGACACCCATGATTTAATATTAATATCCACCAATCTGTCCAAAATGCTGCTAAAAGGCTTTTAACGCACACTCTTACATATCAGTTGGGTATAAGTAGTTTAACATCTTCTTATTTTCTTGGCCTCACGAAGTGACGCCACCACTGCATTTTTTCATTCTACGTCACCCCTGTTCTCCAAACCGGACCCTTGGAGCCACAGTTTTCTTGTACCCGTCTGAAAGCTGAGGCTAATTATGTGCGCTCTGACCTTTAGCGCCAAAACTGTGGAACAGCTTTCCTCCCTCTGCAGTTTAAACTGTATCTGTCATCTGTGTGGACAGGCGTGCGTCTTGTGTTCTGCGTTGTTTACGTGCTTCAGCTGTGCTTTCAATACCTCTGTAAAGCACTTTGTGACTCCTCTCTGATCCAATCAGGGCCAGCTCTTTGAGTCTTACAACATGGCCGCTCTGTGGAAGCTGCCGTGCATCTTCATCTGCGAGAACAACAAGTACGGCATGGGGACGTCGGTGGAGAGAGCTGCAGCCAGCACCGACTACTACAAGAGGGGAGACTTCATACCTGGACTCAGAGTGAGACGCTAACACATTAGAGCTGCAGGGCGGGGTTAAACATGGCGGGTAAAGGTGCCGGTCCTGGGCAGCGGCTGCAGTGTGTCTGATGACTGTAGACTGCCGCTGCCCGTTTGGACCCAGACTATAACAGGAAGAGGCTGCGAGTCTGTCCTGGCAGTTGCAGGTGTGAGCATGCATACAGCTGTCTGATGCTCATGTATGATACTGCGCACAAACACACTAAAAAGCAGGGGTCGCCGCGGGGGTCGCTTCTGTGCGTAGAGGTGTGCCAATGGTCAGGTTTCTCTCTGCTCTCCTGCAGGTGGATGGGATGGATGTCCTGTGCGTCAGAGAGGCCGCACAGTTTGCTGCAGATCACTGCAGAGCTGGAAAGGTGAGGGTTTAGATTTTAAAAAATACATAAATTTAAAAAACAACGTCTGTGCTGCACTCAGTTATTCATACATGTGAAGGTAGAAGTCCACGGACACCCACGGGCTTTAATTTTGAAGGGTTCTCGTGGTGCAGAGTTTCCTGTAGGATCTCTAAAAGGCTCTAATGTTTCAGCGCATCGATGTGAAGCAGCACTTTGTGTTTCAGGGTCCCATCATAATGGAGCTGCAGACCTACCGTTACCATGGACACAGCATGA